TGCATAGCCATGTGTTCCTCGTAGGCTTACAAAAGCTTAGTTTTAGGTGGCATTTTTGCTTGTTTCAGTTTATTTACCTTATGGGAGAAGCACTATCAGAAGTACCTGACAAGGTTTACCTTCAGTTAGAACTACTTACCTATTCTTTAAAAATTTTATTTTTATTTTCATATAAATGTATGAGTGTTTTGCCTGTGCACCCATACATGTAATGTCTGCAGAGGCCAGAAGAGGGCTTCAGATGCTCTGGAACTGGAGTTGTGAGCCACCATGTGGGTGCTAGGAGCTGAACCTGGGTCCTCTGCAAAAGCAGCTAGTGCTCTTAACTGCTGAGCCATCTCTTCAACCCCTACTTACCTATTCTTGAGCTTGGCAAACTTTAAAACATCATCTTAAAAGAACACTAATAAAGTTTTATTTTAAAACTTGCATGGTGGTACACACCTTTAGTCCAAGCACCCAGGAGGCAGAGGCAGGTGGATCTCTGTGAGATTTGTGGCTAGCCTAGACAAGTTCCAGGCCAGCTGGGGCTACAGGGAAATCCTGTCTCAAAAAAACAAGAAAACAAAACCAAAACCAAAATCAATCAAACAAACAATATCAACTCACACGCATAATCTCACCTGTATGAACAATCTATAAAAGCTAAGCTCCTAGACAGAGAATCAAATCGTGGTTACCAGGGCCAGGATGTGAGGAGTTGGGAAGATGGTCAAAGGAAACTATCAGTGGCAAGATAAGTAAGTTCTGGACTTCTGAGGATGGAGTGTTGACTGTGGCAATCCACTGTACCTTATGTACATATGAGACACATCGTACACCTTGAAATATACTCAATCTTTGTCAATTAAATCGATTTCTTAATTTTAATATATTTTTATTATTTATTTTTTATGTGTATGAGTGTATTGCCTGCCTGTATGTGAGTGCACCTGTGTCGTGCAATGTCACGGAGGTCAGAAGAGGGCTTCGGATTTCCCTGGAACTGGTGTTAAAGACAGTTCATAGCTGCCATGTGGGTGCCGGGAATTGAACCCAGGTCCTCTGAAGAGCATTCAGTGCTCTTAGCCACTGAGCCATCTCTCCAGCCCCTTTAATTTTAAAGAGAATGAAATAAATTATTTACTCACATATATGGAAAATTTGTTTTCAAAATTACTTAGAGCTGGGGCTGGAGAGATGGCTCAGTGGTTAAGCGCACTGGCTGTTCTTGCAAAGGACCCAGGTTCAGTTCCCAGCACCCATATGATGGTTAACAACCATCCCTAACTCCAGTTCCAGGAAATCCTGCATCCTCTTCTGATCTCTGCAGACAATCCACGACACAGGTGCACTTACATACATGCAAGCAATACATTCATACACACACACACACACACAGACACACACAAATTACTTACAGTTGCAGATGAGTCTTCAGTAAATACATTATTAAATTTCAATGGAATTAAATGCCCTAACAATTGTTTCTGACTGGCAGTTTTGTACACAGGTGATTTTTATGGCTCTACCTATTCCAACTATTTAATTGGACTTCATTTACTCCCCGCTCTTCTCAGGTTGGTCTGCCTGGCTAGTTCAGCCCTACTGGGCAGCAGCCAGTGTGGAAGGCTTCAGTTCCCCTCTCCTCGCCTAAGGCTGTGTTAACTGTGGACAAAAGAGATAAGCTAATATTTGTTGCTATTTTAGAGGAACGTTTTTGGGGTGAGGGGGAACAGGTTCTCAGTATATAACCAAGACCGACCTAACTCAATCCTCTCGCCTCAGCAGCTGAAGTACAGGAATGTGCCGCCATGCATGGCTGGGATTTTTTTTTTTTTCCTAAATAGCCCTTTTTTTTTTTTGGTATTTTTGAGACAGGGTCTCCCTGTAGCCCCAGCTGTCTTGGAGTTTACTATGTAGACCAGGCTGGCCTTGAACTCATAGAGATCTGCCTGCCTCTGCCTCCAAAGTGCTGGGATTAAAGGCATGTGCCACCACGCCTGACCCTAAATAGCTCTTTTAATAGTTCATTTTATCTTGATTTTTTTCAATAATATAAAAACAGTAGCAATCTATAGGCAATATCTGAATTTTAAAAAAGCTACCTTGTAGATATCCTGAATAACAAAATTTTAGCCACTTAGAAAGTCTCACATTAAAAAGTAAATGGCTCTCAATGATGAAAATAATCATATCTAAAGTACATGACACACTATAAGTTAAGTACTACCCATCTCAACAGACTCCTTCAGCTGAACTACAAAACTCAGCCACTAGTTTCTACTGTGTTCCCTGAAATTAGTGATTGGCAGAATTTTTGATTAAATGCAAAATGGTATATAGATGGTTACAGCCATGTAAAAGTACACTGTATATGACCTGAAAGGCAAGAAAAAAAAAAGAAAAGATGTTTCAAATTTTTCTTTACAATATGGGGGAGGAGAGGTGAATATTATCAACATATTTTTGATAATTTAAAATATATTAAAAATGTGTGTATTTCAGATTTCTTTTTTCTGGCCTCTAACTCTCCAGCTGAGAATGACCTTGAACTCCTGATACTCCTGCTTCCACTTCCCAAGTACTGAGTAATAAAAACATTTTTTAAATGTTTCTTAGTTTTTTTTTGGGGGGGGGGGGTTGTTATGTTTTAGACAGGGCCGTCTTGTTGCCCTAGCTATCCTGGAACTCACTATGTAGACCAGGCTGGCCTCAATCTCAGAGATCTGCCTGCCTCTCTCTGCCTCCCTAGTGCTAGGATTAAAGGCTACCACACCTGGCTTAAATGTATTTCTTAAACAAAAGGAATGTTAGCACCAAGCCTATCTTCCTAAAAGTCTCAGTGCTTACCTAACTGGAGTCTCCCTTATCTTTACTGACACGCCTCAGTGAGCCCTGACTCCAGCTACTGAGAAGAACAGCAGCTGTTGTATGATTGTGTCTTCTCTCCTGTCAGAGAAAACAAGGGGAAAATGGTAATACAACCGTGGGCAGGTTTGGTAAGACCCTGAATGTTTTCCATGTTAACCTCCTCCAGCATGAATCCAGAGGTTTCGTTCTAAAAACTCTTTGATCACCTTGGAAAAACTATCCTCGGCACCAGGATTTTGTGGCAAGAATGGGCAGCAAGGTATTTTTGTTTTCTGTTGTTTTGTGAGACAGAGACTCAGTATGTAGCCCTGTTGGCCTCAAGCTCACAGAGATCTGCCTGCCTCTGCCTCCCACAGGATTTGTTTTGCAGTCATTGCTTAGATATAATTTAGATGTGAAGAAATTGTTTTAAAAACAAAACTTACATTTAAAAGGAAATACACTGCCAGGCATGATAGCACAAGACTTCTGTAATTCCAGTAACCCCTGCACTCCGGAGGCTAAAGCAAGAGTTATCAAGTTCAATGTCAGCATGGGCTACAGAGTGAGTTCCTGTCTCAAACAATGGCAAGAAAAAGAGAGAAGCACATAATCTGTATCTAAAAAAAGCCCTCAAGTGCAAAATAATACTGTGTTCCAAATAAAGAATAGCAGAGAACAGAGAAAAATAAGCTATAGACATAAAGAATATAAGCTAAGGACATCAAACAGTAAGATTGGGTTCAAGCCACAGTAGAATTAAAAATAAAAGAAATACACAGGTCTAATCAGAATCTTTCAATTTATACACGAGAGGACTTGAAGCCCCTTTATTTACTCATTCAACAAGCATTTATTGTCATGCCTACAAGACAAAAATATGGTCCAAGGAGGGAAGGCCACAGAGAAAGTTAGCAGCAAAACAGCAGCTTTGCACTGAATCCCAAACCAGTTAATCTGCAAGCATTTCTGCACCTGCAAGCATCCCAAGGATGGGCTCAAGGGTCTAGAAAAGTGCAAAATCTTCATGGACAGCTGACATAACATTTTTGTAATAGGGTTAGGGCATATACTATATTCAGATGCTGTTTGAATTCATGCAAAATAGCTATGAGTTCTTTTTCAAAAAAATGATTTTATTTTTATTTGTACGAGTGTTCTGATTGCCGATGTGTATACTAGCATGTGTGCAGTGCCCAAGAAGGGCTGCAAAGGGCAAGAGTGCTGCCATGTGGGTGCTGGGAATTGAACCCAGGTCCTCAGGAAGAACAGTAAGTGCTCTTAACCACTGAGCCACCTCCCGAGTCCTGCTGTATGTTTCTTAATTAGAACACAAAGGGTAAGTCCCTGCACTCTGGATTTATTCTTTAATGTCTTGGGCGTTCAGCACTCCATGTGCAAATGTGGACAATCTAAATGACAATTTTAACCATGATTCCTGATCCTCTAACCAGACTTACTATACTCTGTCTCCTTTGAATTACAAAGGAGGATGTCATATTTTTTTCACCAAGTGTGAAAATTAAAATACTTTTAAATGAAAATTAGAAACCTAGGTAAATGAATACTATTTAACTCAACCATCAATAGTTAACCCACAGTTAACCATAGCTTAGGGTAACAGTGTATAAATACAAACAGAAATAGTAAAACCTTCTGCATCACGGGACTGGAGAGATGGCTCAGTGGTTAAGAGCACTGACTACTCTTCCAGAGGATCCAGGTTCGATTCCCAGCACCCACGTGGCAGTTAACAACCATCTGTAACTCCAGTTTCAAGGGATCTGACACCTTCTTCTGACCCCTGTGGGCAAAGCACAACACAGGTGGCACCTACCTACATGCAGGCAATACACATGCACACATAATATAAAAATAATAAATAAGTTATTTAAAATAACCCAAAAAACAGAAAACCTTCTGCATCAGAACTTCCTCGCCGCTTTCATTTTGGTGCTGGTCAGGCACTTTTAAATCACTGAACTCAGGGCCTCACATAAATAAAACATGTGTTCTACCACTGAGTTACATTCTGAGGCTCCAGAACTTTTTTCTTTTAAAAGAAAACTTACCAATTTCATTTCAAAGCAATTTCATCTAATACAAAGGGGAAAATACACTGGGCATGGTGGCGCACACGTGGAATCCCAGAATTTGGGAGGCTGTGAGAGGAAGATTACCATATATCTGAGGCCAGACTGAGTATATAACGACACACAAGCCTGGGGCCTGGGGTACAGAATAGGATCTTGTCTCAAAAAACTAAACAAAAACAAACAAAATAGAAAGTAGTTTGGAACCAACCCCTTTGTATGTGTTGTTTTCGGATTTCATGTTAAGAAAGCATTAAGGAGTTCTTTAACGCAGGAGAAAATGGAACCAATACTGGGCTTGAATTTCTTTTTTAAATAACTCATAGGGAAAAGGCGTAAAAACTTGGTAACTTATTGAAGTAAAACAATTTTTTGAGCTAGTCCTGACTGAAAAGTAGTAATTTATGATGCAGTCCTCTAAGACCTCTAAGATTGTAAAGGAGTGAGGATTTAAAGGCTTCTTGGGCTATGCCACTAACATCCCAGTAAGGCTGATTTCCTAGCCTGGACTGTAAGGCTTTGCTTCTGCCATACCTCCTCCCCAAGCCAGTCTTTGGGTCCTTCCCTACATACTACATAGCTTTACTGAGATGGGTCCTTGGATACAATTTGCCTCTGTATTCTGTTATAGATCAGAGCATATAGTTGATACATAATAATTATAAAATGAATATCAAGGATGGTAACCATAACTTTAAATATAGGCTCTATACCAACTCACATGTTCATACTCTGAAAGTACAACAATAAAATCATAACTACACCAGGAACATGAGGTTCCACTTCACATATCAGGGAATGTTCAATGTGAGGTCAGGGCTCAGATTACTTTTTTAAAAACAGTTTCACTCTGTAGTCTAGGCTGGCTCAGACTCATGGCAATCCTCCATCAGCATCTTCAGTGGTAGGATTATTACAGGTGTGTGCCACCACTTGTCTTTGGACTGGGAAATTTGTCTTTTTGGTTGTGAGCCCGAGCTTTAAATGGCTGTGCCAGCTCTCCAGTGAAAGGACTGGGAATTTTGAAAGGTATGGCCACAGACACACAAAAACATCACACATGCTGCTCTAAAAGTATCAACCATTTCTTTCACTTCTTTTAACTAAGAAAGCTTAGATAATGAACAATAGAAGAAAACAGTAAGGAAAAAAGAAACAAAAAATGACAGAAGATAATTTTATCTCTAGATTAAGACTTCTTTTAATATACATAATGTATAGTACTTCATATAATTTATTAATGTTATTTTCTATAGGACACTGTAATTAATTCAGTGACATCAATATTGACCTCAAACAGACACAGGATGAAAGGTGGGTTTTCTTGTGTACCAAGTACAAAACATGTTAAAAAGTTAACATAGACAACAATTGTAAGAGATCAACTTTCAGGATGACTCAAGTCTACAGTAGTTGCTTCACATGGTTTCCCCATCACGACTTGGATGCCACCCAGTGTTGCCATGTTTGTGCAAATGACAGCTGGGCACCACCTCACTACCTCCTTTTGCCAGCCCCACTTTTGCCTGTTTTACTGCTGCCGCTGCTAGATTTGCCAGAGGATTTTGTAGAGAAGAGTCTTGTCATGAACTCAGAAACATCAGGCAATTCATGGTTGGAATTCAGCATATTCATTGACTGCTCCATCTCCTGCAGGGAGAAAAAGTGTAAGAAATGAAAGATCCTTCCAGATATTTAGTTTCTAACACTTCCTACTAAGGAAGAAGGAAAGGAGGAGAACAAGTAAAAGTTAATGGTTCTAAGCAATGACTCAATGTCGTATGTAAAAGTTCTTTACCAGGACTGAGGGTGGAGCTCAGTGGTATAGCGTTTACCTATCATGATGTATGAAGCCCTGGGTTCAATCTGCAGTAATCACTCCCCAAATCGAAAGCACTTCACCTAAAGATTATTAATAATCACGTTGTATACCTATTTTTTCTTTTTGTCCCAACCTTGGTTTTTTTTTAATTACATTTTTTTTTAAACTTACCACTTCTCGGTCTTTTAGCTAAGATCAAGTATAAAATTTTTTTTACTTATTTATTTTTATTTTATGTGTATTAAGTGTTTACCTGTGGAGGCCAGAAGAGGGCATCAGATTCCTTGGAACTACAGTAACAGACATTTGTGAGCTGCCATGTGGGAGCCAGGAGCCAAACTCTCTCTGGTCCTCTGCTCTTAGCCAGAGCCATCTCTCCAGCCACAGGGTCTCACATAGCCCAGGATAGCCTTGAACTTGTTATGTAGTTTCCCAAATGCTAGGATTTTAGGCATGTGCCACCACACCCCACTCCATTCCTCTTTTATGCCACTAAACATGTTGATCTTTTACAACATTAAACATGTAAATGTATAATATATTCTTATATAGGGTTGATTCACCTTATTGTGTTTATTTAGTTGGGTTGGGGGGATGGCTGAGACAGGGTCACACTATGTAGGTCAAGCCTGCTTTAAACTCACAATGTAGCTCAAGCTGGCTTTGAACTTGTGGCAATCCTTTTTATTCAGACTCCTAGGTGCTAAGATTATAGATGTATGTCATCATACTTGTTTTTTGTTTTTTTTTTTACTGTATGCTTCTATAAAAGACTTTTTTCTTGACAGTGGATATATCTTGTTTTTTTATAGCCTTTCTTATTTTCTAATACTTTACCCTTCTCTAACTAAACATCAAAGTTATCAAAAAAGTTTGGACAATAACTCCTATTTTCAAGACTTGACTCCCGAGCTGCAGTAGACCATGCTATGCCTTGGGTGACCTATGCTATACCTTGGGTGACCTTACTTACAGTGTCTAAAGCAAGAACACAACAAACAAGCCACTGGCATGGCAGAACAAGGATTTGGTGCATTAGAGGCTTTCTCTTCCCCCTTACAGAACTAACAATGATAAAGTACTACTCAATATTAATCATGTAGTATTAGAGGCTGGGGAGACAGCTCAGTTGGTAAATGTTTGTTATATAATAAGCATGAGTACCTGATTTCCCAGATCTCCAGCACTCATGTAAAAAGCTGGGCGCTGGGCACAGGGCCAGGCATGGTGACACACACCTTTAGTCCCAGCAATTGGGAGGCAGAGATGGGTGGATCTCTGAATTCAAGGCTGGCCTGGTTTACATAGTGAGTTCCAGGCCAGCTGGGGCTACAGGGAGACCCTGTCTCAAAAAGACCAGTCAATCAATCAATCAATCAATCAATAAAGCTGAGCACAGCAGCATGCACCTGCAATCCTAGTGCTGGGAAGGCAGAGACATGTAGCTCCTTGGGGCTCTTTTGCTAGCCAGTTTAGCCAAATCAGTGAGCTCCAGGTTCCGTGACAAACCCCACCGCAAAAAATAAGACAGGCAGCAACTGAGGAAGATACCAGTGTCAACCTGGACTCCCACACCCACATGCACACAAACAAACACATATCCAAATATTAATGTAATATTAGTTTTAATTTAAATTTTATGTAACTTTCCAAAAGTAAATGTAAAATTTATTTTAGTTCAGACATGAAAAAAATAATAGCAAATACTGTATCACTTAGCATTTCAAATAGGAAACTGTTAAAAATATTAGCTTGGATTTCCCCCCAAATGTATAATCTATTTATAGGTTTTAAAGAAGGTGCTTTTATAAATCAATCCAAGAAATAAACATAAATCAAATATGCTAACATGTGTGCTAATTACTTTTCTGGTTGCTACAACCAAATACCTCACAAAAGTGCAGTTCATTATGGCAGGGAAGGCAAGGTGGCAGGAGCAGGTTGGTTCCTGACAGACCGGACAGCAGACAAAGAGGATGCTCTACTGTCTCTCTCCTTGTCCCTTTCTGTTCAGTCAAGGACAACAGCCATACCTTGCTGCTGCCCACATTCAGGATGAACCTTACCTTAAGCTATTCCATGAATAGATACCCTCTCAGATACATTCCAAGGTGTACTCCACTTATGTCCTAGGCATTTATCAATCCAATCAACTTGACTATCAAAATTAACCATTACAGACTGGGCTTGGTGGCGCATGCCTCCCAGCACCCAAGAGGCAGAGGCAGACAAACCTCTATGAGTTCAAGGCCAACCTGGGCTATATAGTGAGACCTCGGTTTCAAACAAAACAAAACAAATTAGCCATTACAATATTCCCTCTAATCCAGAATTAACCCTGGGTATGGTGGTTCATACTGCAATTGCAGTAGTCAGGAGCCGTGGCAGGACGACTACTATGAGGTCTGGGCCAGTCTAAGCCCCGCCCCACCCCACCCCAAATAATTTAATGTATATAGTTTCTTTTTTGAAGATTATTGAATCCCACCCCCCCAAAAGAAATGTTATATGATCTATTTTACTTTTGAATCTGTTCAGTTTTGAAGCCCTTGAGTTAACAACTTTCATAATGGCTACCATGAAAAAATACTTTACAAGGAGTGAGTTTATTT